GTGCAATATTTTCCTGTCTGATGTGTTATGCCTGTCACCCGGGGAAGCCTCAGCATGCAGTTTGAAGTGTACACTAAGACAGTGGGGGGCTTGGCTTAGCCAATAGCACTGGCTACTCTCTCAGAGTATCCAATACTCTCTTCTGGCCTTGGACACAATGCACAAACATACACCCAGGGAAAACACCCATGTGCATTAAAACATCTTTTAACCAGCCTTAAATATAGTACTATGTATGAGCTGTAACTAAAACTCCAGCCTTTTAAATTGGGAAAGAAAACCAGTAACGGCTGGATCTCCAATATGGCTCCTCAGTATAGAGCACTACAGAGTCACCTGTGTGGGGTTCAAGAATGAAGGACTGGAGAGATGGTTAAGAGCACCTGTTCCTGCATAGGATCTGGATTCAATTCCTAGCATTCTCATGGTGCACATACACACATACAGGTGAAACATTCACACACACACACACACACACACACACACACACACACACCCCATTAGAGGGGCTCGCAAGGTGGCTCCGTCAGCAGGTGAAGCACCTGCCATCTAAGCCTAATGACCCAAGTCCAGTACTTCAAACCCATGTAAAGATGGAAGGCAAGAACTGACTCCACAAAGTTGTTGCACGACCTCTACATGTATGGTGTGCCACATGCACATCCACAAACAGCACTCCTAGAGAAAGCCAAAGTGGTTTGAATGAAAGTGGCCTCATAGGCTCATGTTTGAATACTTAGTGCCTAGTTGGTGGAATTGTCTGGGGAAGGTTACATGTGGCCTTGGAGGAGATATGTCACTGGGGTATACCCTTTAATCCTAGCATTAGGGAGGCAGGCCCATCTCTTGAGTTGGAGGTCAGCCTGGACCTCAAAAAGCAGGAGATAATGGCTGCAGGCAAACCACACTGCTTAGGTGAACATAAGGGCTTTCTAGTCTGTCCTTGCAATGTTGAGGGTCAAACAGCTCAGACAGCAGGCAGGTGCTCTATCTGAGTCCTCACTGTCTTCCATTTCTGCTTTTTATCCACACTTGGTGCTAAAAGATGGAACCCACAAAGGCTGAACCATTAGCTACATCCCTAGGCCTGCTTTTTCTTTGTGATGGCTTTTTTCTTTTTTCAGACAGGGTTTCTCTAGGTAGCACTGGCTGTCTCAAACTCAGATCTGCCTGCCTCTGCTTCCCAAGTGTTGGGATTAATGGTTTATACCACCACCAACCAACCTGAACTGATTATTCTAATCTTTGGTTCATACATCTGTAAGATGTGGTAGTAACTGCTTTTCCAGGGTCACTAAGTTCAGAAATAAAGGGAAATGTAGAACTGTTGCCAAGACATTCATTTAGCACATTTCTAGGTGGTGTTAGAAAAAATCTAATCAAAACCAGAGATACGGTTTTTTTTGTTTACTTACCTATGTATTTATTTTTTAAGAGGCAGGACTTTGCCTTGGCCTCCCATGTAGCAAAGCACTGCACATTTTGAACCAACATTTAATTCAAGGTGTCAATTCTGTGAAAGAATCAGGCATGCATGCATAAAGACAAACTAATTTTTTTTTTCCCTGAAAAACTCAAGTTTTATCTAGTATGAAGCCTGATAATTTGTAGATACACGCTTCAGATATATAACGAATACCTACCATATTAGCATGCACTGAGCAATTTTTTATGTACTCCTTCAATATAACCCTGAGAGTCTAATGAAGAAACAGAAGTAGAAACACTGATGGGTGTCAGTGTCAACAGGCAACTGTTTGACGGCTTTGAGACAGGTTCTCCTGTCACCCAGGCTGGCACTCAATTATGTTAGCTGAGAACAACCTTAAACTCCTGCTCCTTTTTTTCTTTTTCCTTACTTTTTTGAGACAAAGTCTTGTATAGCCCAGACTGACCTAGAATTCCTTTAAAAAAATATGATGTGTATGGATGTTTTGCCTCAGGTACATACATGTACCATATGCATGTCTGGTGCCCACAGCAGTCAGAAGAGGACTTTGGAGTAACAGATGGTTGTGAGCCACCACGTGGGTGCTGGGAACTGAACACAGGTCCTCTGCAAGAGCAGGAAGTGCTCTTAAGTGCTGAGCCATCTCTCCAGCCCCATTTGTTTTTTGACAGTCTCATGATGTAGACCAAGCTGGCTTCCAACTCTTAAGATCTGCCTGCCTCTGCCTCTTGAGTACTGAGATTAAAGCCTTGTAGCACCATGCCTGGTCATATTTTCTCTTTTTCTTCTTTACCACTGAACCTCCAGCCCAATATATTAAAAATTTGCAAGTGTCACCAATGTGGGAAAGTAGGTCAAAGGTACAAAAGATCTTTCTATTTCCAATTCTGGGCTTGAATCCTAGGACTCCGAATGTGTTGGGTCAAGCCCAGCAGCAAAACATGTGCTAAGATGTGTGAGGCCCTGAGTTTGATTCCCATACAGCAAACAAACCAACAAACTGCATGTGATCCTGTCCTGGCTAGTTTTATGCCAACCTGACACAAGCTAGTTATCTGAAAGGGAACTCAATTGAGAAAGCCTATATAAGACATAGCCGTAAGGCATTTTTTAAGTTAATGATTGATGGAGGAGGGACCAGACCGCTGTGGGGTCATCCCTGGACTGGTGGTCCTGGGTTCTATAGGAAAGCAGGCCAGTAAGCAGCTACCCTCCATGGCCTCTGCGTCAGCTCCTTCCTCCAGGATCCTGCCCTGCCTGAGTTCCTGTCTTGCCTTCCTTCAGTGATGAACAGTGCTGTGGAAGTGAAAGCTGAATAAACTCTTTCCTCCCAAACTTGTTTTTTTGGTCATGGTACTTTGTCACAGCAATAGAAACCCTAAGACAGGCCCTACTGTTTTGTTAATTCACTAAAAAAATAGTATTTTTGAGATGATTTTGCTGTTTGTAGCCTAGACTGGCCTTAGCCTGTGTTTTTCCTGCCTAAGTCTCCTGAATGTTAGAATTGCAAGTGTGCTACACTGGGCAAAATAACAATTTCAATTAAGTCAACAAAAATGGGCTTGTCAGATGGCTCAGCAGGCAAAGGTGCTTAAGGCAAAACCTGACAACCCAAGTTGGACGACTGGGACCCACAGGTAGAAGCAGAGAACCGACCGCTACCAAACTGACCTCTGACTTCCACATATACAAAATAGAAAAGTGTTAATTTTTAAAAAATGGCCTGGTGGGGGTGCTGGAGAGATGGCTCTGTGGTTAAGAGCACTGGCTGCTCTTCCACAGGACCCAGGTTCAATCCCAGCACCTGCAATGGCAGCTCACAGCTGTCTGTAACTCTAGGATCTGAAACTCTACAGGCATACATGCAGGCAAAACAACAATGTACATAAAAATAAAATAAAAACCACACAAAAAATGACCTGGCAATGGTCCCAGCACCCAGGAGGCAGAGGCAGGCTGGTCTACAGGTCTTCCAGGACAGCCAAGTTTACACAGGGAAACTCTGGTATCGAAAAACAAACGACAGAACAAGGAGGGAAACAAAGCGGACTGGAGACTGGCTGGGTGTGGAAAGGGACTTGCCACCCAGCCTGCCTTGAGTTTGATCCCTGGAGCCCATGTAAACAGCTGGAAGCAGCTGCATGCATCTGTGATGCCGGCAGTCCTACAGTGAGATGGAAGTGGAGACAGCTGCCTGGAAGCTAGCTAGCCTAGAACACACATGGAGCAGAAACCAGGTGGGGGCCAGTGAGATGGCCTGAGCTTCATCTTGAACCCACAGAAAGGTGGGAGGAGAGAACTGACCCTACAAGGTGTCCTTGACCTCCATACACTCGCTGTGTCATATGTGCTATGGCACATACTTGTGCACATATAATGTAATTAGAAAAAAAAAAAGTTAAAACCCATCTAATCGAATCAAAACTAAGGTTAGGTAAGACAACTGATTCCCAAAAGCTGTCCTCTGACCTCCACACATGTGCCTACACTCATACACATAGCACAGACTCACACACTAATAAAACAAAACAAAACATACTAATCAGCTGAAAGTTGACAACTAGACATTACAAAACCAGGTGAGCCTCAATCCAGAGCTCACCTCCACCACTGACAAAACACTGAGCTTACAGGTTCCTGAACATGTCAACAAGGGCCATCCATGTGCAATCTCTTCACACTTAATTCATAGCTATTATTTCCTCCTCCAAACTTAGGCCTTGATTTCTGGTTCTGCCTTTGCCAGGGTGCTCTCTGTATGGAGGACCTTCACACTTACCCAGTGTCTTCACAATTGCTTTTGGTCTTGTTCCCGAACCTCCTTTGACCCTCTCACAAGGTAGCAATGTCTCTACGGTCAATTCAGAGTTAACAGATCCCAGGATACCTCTGTCACAATAATACTAAGTTTAGCAAACGTTTTCAGAACTACTCATGTGCAATTTTAATCACCACACATGCCCAATGGTTTTCACTAAGCATAATGTGTGTTACTGAGGGGTTTATATAAAGTACTTGACCCAATGGCTGGCACCTAGGATGAAGAAGTACTTGGGACACACGGACACAGATACAGACACACAGACACATACACACACACAATGAGATTGGAGGCTGGGTGTGGTAGTGTATGACTTTAATCCCAGTACTTGGCAGGTAGATCTCTGTGAGTGAGGCCAGCCTGGTCCACACACTGTAATCAAGACCTTGTCTCAAAAATCAAAACAAAACAAAAAGTGGGAGAGACTGGTGGCTGGAAAGATGGCTCAGTGATTAAGAGTACTTTGGGGGCTCACAACCTCTTGTAAATCCACTTCTGGCTTCCAGGGGCACAGGTGGTGCACATACATACAAAACAATGAGAAAAACAATGAGAGTTCACTCCAAGTTCACCTTCTAAACAGTGAGTGGGGGTTGTGGAGATGGTTTAAGAGGTCAGGGCAATGCTATCCAACCTGAGCACCTGAGTTAAAATCCCAAGCATCCACATGAAAAAGCTGGGCCTGGTCTCATAAAACACAATAAGTAAGAAATAAGAAAATCACACCACTAACAAATGAAAAGCATGTTTTTTTCCCCCAGTCATAGCAAAATACATATATACATATTTATAAAGGCATAAGCTATTTTCAATATAACATGGTTTTTGTTTGCTGAATGTCTTTAAATAAGATTCACCAGCCAAGAGAATAAAAATCACTGTTTCTCAAGAATAGTGTTTCAAATGGAGTACATTTTCTTTTTTATATTTTTGGTTGAAAGAGTCTTACTAGCCCACGCTGTTTTCAAACTTGGGAACTAACAATCTTCCTGTCTCGGCTGCATGGGCCTTGGGTGCTCGTTACAACATGAATGTATTTCTGGCAGATTTTTTAAGAGGTGGTTGTGAGCTGACTGCAGGTACCTTAATAAAGACCATAGCATCTTGATGTTCTTTCACACTAGTACTCTTGGAAAGAGTTGACTGTCACTGGGATAAAGTGTGCTTAGGTTTGTAAGAACTCAGGCTGCACTCTGGCCACTTTCCGGAATTCTTTAGTGTGGGTCTTAGGGCACTGCATCTCACACCAGCTGATGGGAACCATCTGGACACCTAGAAGGAAAAAGACAAAAGCTAGTGTTGGAGGTGTGACTCCAAGTATTCTCCGAGGCTTTTTTTTCTTTTCAGCTAGACATGGAAATGTGGTTCAGATGTAGAATGCTTGCTTAGCATATGAAAGACCATGGGTTTCACCCCCAGCATTAAGGGAAAAAGTTTCACTTAAGAAAAAACAAAGAGGCCGGGGCGGTGGTGGCGCACGCCTTTAATCCCAGCACTCGGGAGGCAGAGGCAGGCGGATCTCTGTGAGTTCGAGGCCAGCCTGGTCTCCAAAGCGAGTTCCAGAAAGGCGCAAAGCTACACAGAGAAACCCTGTCTCAAAAAACCAAAAAAAAAAAAAAAAGAAAAAAAAAAAAAAGAAAAAAGAAAGAAGCCTCTTTTATTCCATGATATATGGAGGCAGTTACCTATTCTCTGACATTTAGGGGAATCACGCTAACCTTACTTACTTACTTACTGAGCTATGTGTTGTTCAACAGTGGAGACATGCTCTGAGAAGTAAGATTCCAACACTGGGCAAACATCAGTGTGTAACTCAACACATACTAAGACAGCTAGCTACATCACTAGGTGACATTATCTTGTGATTTCTTGGTGGCTTGGGACTGGACCCAGGGTTGTGTGAATGCTAAGGAAGTGCTCTCCCATTAAGCTACAGCTTAGCACTGGGTGTTAAAATTCTATGGGACCCAACATGGTGATACCTATAATTATCAAAATATTGTTTTCTGTATCACATGTAAGTATGTGTGTCCCTATTGCTTCTTAGACAACCACGGTTCCCAGGGAAATGGACTAGGGAGCAGGAACAACTTACCTGATTCACTGTGGGCTACCACCACCCCTAACTCATTTTCAGCAGTGGTCAGCAGGTAATTGGACTGTGCGTCACCGAGGGAGATCTAGTCACACAGCACCAGTGAAGGAAAAGAGAGGCTCCACGCACTGTTGCCTTAGGCCACTTCACTTCCCGCTTTTTATACTTTTTTTGGTTTTTCAAGACAAGGTTTCTCGGTGTAGTCCTGGCAGTCCTGGAATTCACTCTGTAGACCAGGCTGTTCTCGAGCTCGGAGATGGGCCTGCCTCTACCTCCTGAGTGCTGGGATTAAAGGCATGAGCCACCACTGCCTTAACTTTTTGTTTTCTTTCTTGACACAAGGTCTTATGTATCCCAGGCTGGCCTTGAACTCCTGATCCTCCTGCCTTCACCTCCCAAGTGCTTGCTAGGATTACATAATGTGCCACTGTGCCTGGTTTCATTTCTTCCTGTGACAAAAAACCAGAAAGCTGGGCTCAGAGGTTAAGAGCACTGACTGTTCTTCCAGAGGTCCTGAGTTCAATTCCCAGCAACCACATGGTGGCTCACAACCATCTTTAATGAGATCTGGTGCCCTCTTCTGGCCTGCAGTCATACATGCTGTATACATAATAAATAAATAAATCTTTAAAAACAAAGTTAAAAAAAAAACAAAACAGAAAGCTAATGGAATAAAGGATACAACTTTGGCCAAAACTATGTCACCCGGGCGGAAACTCTTGTAAATTTCAACCTACAAAAAACAAACAGGAATAAAAGGTATGAATTAGGTCTACATGAAATTACTAACCACCCAGTAGAGCCAGGCTATTTTCTAATCCCAGGGCAGAGGTGCCATCATTATGTCAATTCAAATGTTCATTGTTTCAGTGTCATCATATTAATAAAAGAATTTGAATTTAGTAACTTGATTGGGAATCTAATTTATACAAAGGTAGTATAACTGGGCTAGGAAGTCTGAGGAGCATCTGAGGAGCACCTGAGGAGTAATGAATAAACACCAACTTTCAAGGCCAGCCTGGGCAATATGGCAAGCTCTTATCTCACAACAATAGTTTGTATGTGCGGAGCACATATACTCATGTACAAGGATGTGCGCTTGTGTTGAGGTCAGAGCTGACATCGGGTTTTCTTGGTGACTCCCCACCTTATTCTGTTTTTGACACAATCTTTCTCTATAGCACCGGCTGTCCTTAACTTTCTATCTAGACCAGGCTGATCTTGAACTCAGAGATCTGCCTGCCTCTGCCTCTCAAGGGCTGGGATTAATGTCGTGCTCCACTCTGCTCGGTTCCACCTTATTTTTTCAGACAGGGTCTCTTACTGTTCCTCCTGTTCCATATTCTCCACCCTAGCACTTGGGTTATACACACACATTTGTGCCCCACTTTTTACATGGTGACTAGGGATCTAAACTTAGGTCCTTAGGCTTGCCCAGCAGGCACTTGCCCATCTGCCTAGCCTAATAATACCTTTTAATGATTTATTATTTTTTGGAGAGGGTCTTTCTATGTAGCCCTAGTTAACCTGGAACTTATTATGTAGACCAGGCCTGCCTTACATGCACAGAGGTCCATCTACCTGCCTCTGCTTCCTCTGAGCTGAAATTAAAGACATGTGCCAGTGCCACAATGATTAGATAATAATTTTAGCGATAATAAGAGCCTAACCATTTTGGTCAACTGAGTGAAAAAATCTTGTATGGGAAGAAAGGGAGGGTGATATGAATTTCATATGTTATAGCAAGAAATGTATTACATTTCCTTAGACTCTACATTCTTATGGATTTCTGAAATTCCCTGGGATAATAATTCCTTCCTTGTTTTGAGACAAGTTCTTACTTTAAAGTCCTGGCTGAGCTAGAACTAATTATGTAGGCTAGAATGGCCTCAAACTCAAGAGGTCCGCCTGCCTCTGCCTCCTGAATGCTGGAGTGAAAGGTGAGCATACAACACCACATCTGGCTACCGTCCACCCACCCACCCACTCACCCATCCATCCATCTATATTTTAGATTTATTTATCATAAATGTATGTTATGTGTACCACAGCAGGTGCCAATGGAGGCCAGAATAGGGTATCAGATCCCCTAAAACTGGAATAACAGGGTGTTGTGAGCCACTGTGTGAGTGCTGGGAACAGAACATGGTTGCTCCGGACAAACAGCAAATGTTCTTAAATGTTCAAGTCATTTATCCAGTTCTGGGGATAATACTTTTCAGAGCCAAATTCTTTTTTTTTTTTTTTTTTTTCAAGACGAAGTTTCTCTGTGTAACAGCCCTGGCTGTCCTGGAACTTCCTTTGTAGACCAGGCTGGCCTTGAACTCACAGAGATCCACCTGCTGTACCTCCAAGTGCTGGGATTAAAGGAATGTACCACCCCCGCATAGCTAAAGCAAAATTCTTGAAGTCATAGGAAAACAAAAACAGAAAAAAACCCCAAAAACAAACACCCAAACCACCAATCTTCAACCTTGTCTTTTTCAGTTGCTCGGATATCTTCCTTGCTATATTTATTTAAAGAAAAAAAAAAAAAAAAAAGAACGATTAGTTATCTGTGGGAAAGAATTACCCATTGATTCCTAGGAAATAATAAAACATATACCCTTTCTTGGACAATACAGAACAATAGTTTTGATAACTCTTGACAATGGAAAAGCATTATCAGAAATTCAAGGTCATTCGTAGCTACATATGGAAATTTAAGGACAGTCCAACTATAGGACTTTTGTCAAAAAAAAAAATTAAAAAATTTCACCTATACTATACTAATTGCATAACAGTTTCTTTTCAAAGAAGCCACACAACAATCTACCATTTCACCCACAAAGTTTTTCAATTTTTTTCGATTTATTTATTTACTCTTTATGTATGAACTTTTTGCCTGTGGGCACATATGTGCATTACATGCATGCCTGTTTGGTCCTCTAGAACTGGAGCTACCATGTGTGTGTGCTGGGAATTGAACCTGGGTCCTCTATAAGAGCAACAAGTACTCTTTTTTTTGAGACAGGGTTTCTCTGTAAAACAGCCCTGGCTGTCCTGGAACTTTCTTTGTAGACCAGGCTGGCCTCAAACTCATAGAGATCTGTCTGCCTCTGCCTCCTGAGTGCTAGGACATTGGGAGCCCGAAGCCTAGTCTTGGATCAGCATATGACTACCTGTCCAATGGGTTTCCTCAGGGCAAGGCACCTGTGGAAACGGACTCTCACTTGGCAAGGACCAGTAGTCCACAGGACAGCATAGGAATTTGCAAAATTTATGCAGCTTGCAGGCTCTTTTCTCTCTCATATTGGTGATTCTTTGGGCAGTTTTTAGTTTTACTTTTTCAGTCATACATGAAACAGCTGTAATTTCTCCTGGAAACTCTGTTCTTTCTCAAATGTTCCCCCTAAGTTTCAGCAGGGGGCTAATGCTTCTCAAATCTCTTCTCCTGAATTACTAACTACAAATCCTAATCTTGGGAACTTTTCTGACTCAATAGAGACAGTTAGGTACATATGAGAAAACAGCACTTGGAACATTAACTACATCTCACAGTTCTGGAAAGGAGAGCAGGGCATGCACACATAGAAGGGAAAAGCCTCAGGAATACACATAGTGCCAACTGCTGACAGTAAGTTCCCCGGACACCAAGCCTACAGAATCAATGATAGGATCTAGTATGAGCCAATAGGGAAAATGCAATGTAAAATGTGGCTCCATCTTTACCATACACAGGAGTTTCTGTTGGTGGAAGAAGTACCGTATAGTGAGATGGGAAAGAGTGCCTTATCAAAGTCTGCCTTTTACAGAGAGATTGAGACATGGGACCCTCCTGTAGAAAGGGAACTGTATAAAAGCACATCTAGCAGACATGAAGGACCTCTTTGGGTTTGAATATTGTTGTCCTTAAAGCACTTTGCCCATGTCTATTACTTTTTAACTTTGTAACCACAGGTAGCTGCCAGCTGACATAAGTGCTGCAGAGCAGGAGTGTGTGGCCCCATATTTAGTTAAGCCTGCAGCAATGCTGACCCCCGTGTCTACAATAAGGTTATGCAGGGGTGGGAAGGTATATTTGGGGAAGTACAAAGGGGAACAATGGGGGCTTTTGTGATGATCACGATGTATTCCTTAAATTATGATGTATATCTTAAAGTCAAAAATAGAAGCCAATAATAAAGCTGTTCATGTAACCCTGGTAGGAAAAACTATGTTAAAGTATAAATAAAGATGGCTCAAGCTATTTGGGGCCACTTGAGTGCAATCCACCTGGTGGTCAGAATTTCCTGGCTCTGCCACCCCTTCCCCACCTCAGGACCTGAACTGGAGTCGAGGTTGGACCCCGGCAGTGGGATCAAAGGTGTGCACCACCACTCCTGGCTCTCAGCAAGTACTCTTAACTGCTGAGCTATCTCTCCAGCCCCTCCACAAAATTTTCTTATAACCTTGGGTTCAATCAATATTAAAGAATAAAAATTACGTCGTAGTGCATGTCTTTAATCCTAGCACATGGGAAGCAGAGGCAGGCAAATTTCTGTGTTCAAGGCCAGCCAAGGCTAAATATTAAAATAAAATAAACAATAAATTAAAATAAAGGCTGGGCGGTGGTGGCACATGCCTTTAATCACCCACTCAGGGAGGCAGAGGCAGGTGGACCTCTGTGAGTTCGAGGCCAGCCTGGTCTACAGAGCGAGACAGCTAGAGCTACACAGAGAAACATTGTCTTGAAAAAACAAAATAAATAAATAAATAAATAAAGAAATAAAGAAAGAAAGAAAGAAAGAAAGAAAGAAAGAAAGAAAGAATAAAAACGTGGCTGGCTAGATGGCTCAGGGGCTAAAGATGCTTGCTGTCTAAGCCTGATGATCAGCTAAGTTTCTTGTGGGAGCCCGTTTTCAGGTTCCTAGTGGTTTTACCCAGCAGGTCTGCATAGAGAGGATGACTGGACCACGGGCCTGAGTGCAGGTGTCTGAGATGGTCTGCACTTGGCTGGGCTGCGGGGAGGAGGTCTTTTGCTCTACCCCTTTGCTGTGGGATGTTCTGTATGGCAAACGTGTTGCTCTGATTTGTTGGTAAATAAAACACTGATTGGCCAGTAGTCAGGCAGGAGGAAGTATAGGCGGGACAAGGAGGAGAATAAAGCTGGGAAGTGGAAGGCTGAGTCAGAGAGACACTGCTAGCTGCCACGATGACAAACAGCATGTGAAGATGCCGGTAAGCCACGAGCCACGTGGCAAGGTATAGATTTATAGAAATGGATTAATTTAAGCTGTAAGAACAGTTAGCAAGAAGCCTGCCACGGCCATACAGTTTGTAAGCAATATAAGTCTCTGTGTTTACTTGGTTGGGTCTGAGTGGCTGTGGGACTGGCAGGTGAGAGAGATTTGTCCTGACTGTGGGCCAGGCAGGAAAACTCTAGCTACACCCCTTGGCGTTTCTATAAATACCTTAGGGCAGAGACAGTCGAGCCATTGGAATAGGTTCCAGGCCCTCTCCTGTATTATCTCCACAATCTAAATCCTTCTATCTAATATTTCCTGCTGCTCTCACTCAAGAAAACTCTGAGGAACTGTGGGGTTGGTGGGTAGCTGCCCCGCAGTTTCTGGAACCCACATCAAGATGGAAAGAGAGAATTGACTTTACAAAATTATCCTGACCTTTACATGTGTGCTGTAGTATGTGGGTCAGCACATATACATCGAACAAAATACTAAGAAAAAAGCACATGAAAGCACTTCCTAAGAGGCTTCTACGGTGTTTGGTTTGGCTTATCCTGACATTGCTAGTCTACAGCTTTCTTCAGTCCTTTTTGAGACAGATCTTGTGCATCCCAGGCTGGCCTTGAACTTGCTATATAGCCAACAATTATCTTGAACTTCTCATCCATGCAAGCATCACCACATCTGAATTATGTCATTCTTGCGGATCTAATCTGGGGCTTCTCCATCAACTGAGATGTATCACCAGCCCCCTTTTGCTCTCTTTAAAATCCTCTTTTATTACTAACATTTTTCATTTCTTGCAGCTCATATAACATCTTCTCTGGATAAACAGCAATAAGCAAAGCATTCGGAGAGACTTAAGTGGGCAGGAAAAAGAGCTGTAATTGCTCCACAAATGCCAGTCTTCTCCACTATCCTTGCCTTACTCCTGGTGCTGAGGCAAACACAAACACAAGAATACATCTTACCGGATAGTTCCTCGAAAAGCGTTTTTTAGTGGTGTGGATCCCACATATAAGATGTGTACTTTGGCAAAACGTGAGTTGATGCTAGAGACCTAGGGAACAGAGACAGGATCAGCATCAAAGGATCAACTACTGGTTATTCAAAGAACTAGAGCAGGAAACAAGAATTACTACGATTTTAGTCCAATTAACCCTACTAAGTAGATTAAAGGGTTTTTGTTCGGTTTTGGTTTTAGAATTATTTTATCTTATGAAATGAGCGTTTTGCCTGCATGTATATATGTGTACCACCTGTGTGCCCTGTGTCCAGAGGTCAGAAGGTGGAGATTGGATCTCCTAGAACTGGAATGGATGGTTGTGAACTACCATGTGGGTGCTGGGAGCTGAACCCAGGTCCTCTGCAAGAGCAACAAGTGCTCTTAACCACTAAGCCATATCTCCAGCCCTTTCTTTCTTTCTTTTTTTTTTTTTTTCGAGACAGGGTTTCTCTGTGTAGCTTTGCGCCTTTCCTAGAACTCACTTGGTAGCCCAGGCTGGCCTCGAACTCACAGAGATCCGCCTGGCTCTGCCTCCCGAGTGCTGGGATTAAAGGCGTGCGCCACCACCACTCGGCCTGCCCTTTATTTCATTTCAAAAAATTATATGTGTGTGTGTGTCTGTATGTGGGTATGTGCACCTGAGTGTATGTGCCCATGGAAGCTAGAAGTGTTATATCCATCCCCTAGAAGCTGAAGAAGTCACAGGCAACTGTGAGTGCTCAAAGTGGGTGTCTGAAAAAGCAGCAAGTGCTCTTAACCTGAGAGCCATTTATCCAGCCAATTTAAGTAAGTTAGCACCTATTTATGTCTGTCTAAGAAGTATCTGTGGGCTAAAATCCACAGTGGCTGCCTGATAGTGTTATTATGGGAATCAAATGAGAATATGCAGTAGTGATCTTAAAAAAGTATCCAAGCCTAAATTAGATGTGGCGTGGTGGTGAATGTCTAGAATACAATCCAAGTTATAACAGATCCTGAAACCGGAGGGTCTCAAGATTGAAACCAGCTTGGTCTACATAGCAAGTGTACACAGCAGCCTCAACAACTTAGCAAGACAACTATTTTTTTTGGGGGGGGGGGGAGAGCAGGTGGGATGATGGGGGTGGGGTAGAGGCAGAATTTCTTTGTGTAGCCTTGGCTGTCTTGGAACTAGCTCTGTAGACCTGACAGAGATCCACCTGCCTCTGTTTCCTGAGTGCTAGGATTAAAGATGCTCACCACCACCATCTGGCTCAAAATTTAATAAGACAACAATAATAACAAAAAGCCACTAAATCTTTCACAAATATACAGTATATGGTAACAAATCCAGACCTTTACCAGTCCTTACTAAGAAACCCGTCTGTGGATGGAACTTAAATCTACATTTTAGCTAATACCTGACATTTAGGTCATTGTGCCTCTGCGATATTTTCAGAATAACACCATTTTTTTTCTGTAATAGTTTATAAAGAGAGAAGAATGATGCTGTGCAAGGTGGTACACACCTATAATCCCAGCATTTAGGAGATGGAGACAAGAGGATCAATAAATAGTCACCCTCTGTTACACTGTAAGTCTGAGGCCACTTGGGCTCTATAAGACCTGGGAGAGATGAGGGAAGCGAGGGAGGAGAAAAGGAGGGAAGGCGAATGATAGAAAGTTATAAATAAACTATAAATAAATTGGTAGAAGATGGAGATGAGGGAATATACTGAACATTATAGGCACTTGGCACATAGAGCATTAATTTGTACCTCCTGTCAAATCCCCTAGGGCTGAGTATGGAGCTCAGCTGGGAGAATACTTGTCTACACAAAGACCTAAGTTCTTAGCACAGCATTTTATAACACAGGCATGGTGATACGAATCCATAATCCCAGCATTTTGGAGGTGAGGCAGGAGGATTGCCTCACCAAGTCTGAGGTCAGCCCTGGGCTATATAGTGAGCTCTAGGGTATCCAGGATTACAGAACAAAACTTTCTTTCAAGGAAAAAGAAAAAAGGACACCCTATTCCCATACACGAGAAGAAACTTAGCTCAGTGAGAAGAACTATGAATTCTTTGAGATGGTAGAGCTTAGGATGGCTTCTATTTTTTTTTTAATAATTATTTGTATTTTATATGCATTGCCTGCATGTATGTATGTCTGTACGAGGGTGTCAGATCCTCTTGTATAGGAGTTACAGACAGTTGTGAGCTGCCATGTGGGTGCTGGGAATTGAACCCAGCTTCTCTGGAAGAGCAGTCAGTGCTCTTTACCACTGAGTTAGGCTGGCTTCTAAGTCACTATGTAGGAGAGGATGATGCTGAACCTTTGATACCCCCTACCTCTACCTCCTGAGCACTGTATTTATAGGTGTACAATAGCCCAGTTTATTGGTGCCGCAGGGTTGAGAACCCTGCACCTCATTCATGCTAAGTAAGCAATCTACCAAGTAAGCTATAATCCAGGCAAAAAACTAGATGTGTGAATTTATCTGTCTTGATCCTGGAAATCTTCAGACCAACAGAGTCCAGTGAAACTTCCTTTAAACAAAATAAATAAAACAAGCCTTCCTTTCTCACTTTTTAGAACTGCAGCAACCTGGAGTCAGGACTGAAGCAGAGGTTGGGAGGACGCTGCTCACTGGCTCTCCATGGCTTGCTTGCCCAGCCTGTTTTCTTATACAACCCAGGACCACCCACCTAGTGGGGGCACTGCCCACGATGATCTCGGCCCTCTCATATTAAACATCAACCAAGAAATGTCCCAGATAGGCCAAGCTGCCATGTGCCAACCAATATGGCAGTCATTAACCACAGCTTACTACTGAGTACTTAAAATGTGGCTAGCGTTGGACTGCAGGTCTCACTCTGTAGCCCATTCTGGTCTTGAACTACTGTTCAAGTTTCCTAAATCCTGAGATTATACAAGTGAATCACCACGCTTGGCTGAAAATGAATTTTTCTTTCTTTCTGTTTTTTTTTGGAGACAGGGTTTCTCTTTGTAGCCCTGGCTGTCCTGGAACTTGATGTGTAGACCAGGCTGGCTTCAAATTCACCTGCCTCTGCCTCTTAAAGTCGTGAGCCATGATGCCTGTCTCTGAAAATGAACTTTTAACACTTACACACTCAAATAGCCCCATCTAGCTAGTGACTACTGTATGTATTAAGTAGTGGAACACAGCAGTTGTGCTTTGGCCTAAGCACAAAGATTCAGATCAACTCACCTTACAGGTGACAACAGCGCCCACATCTGGAAGTAGCTGGGACTCTGTTTCTCTCATCACAGACACCACAGGAAGCTGTGAAGAGAGTAAACAAGTCGATGCACTGGTTAAGTAAGTGCTGGGTAAAGATAACGGCAGTTTTCGAATAATACAGAATCGTCTTAGAACGGTGGGGTCACAAGGGCAGGCACAGTATAGTTATACTTGTAACCCACAGCAGAGGACATTAGTAATTTTAACAAATTAAAAAAAAAAAAAAAAACAAAAAACTTAGGGGCTGGAGAGATGGCTCAGCGGTTAAGAGCGCTGGCTGCTCTTCCAGAGATCCTGAGTTCAATTCCCAGTAACCATGTGGTGGCTCACAACCATGTGTAATGGGATCTGATACCCTCTTCTGATGTACCTGTAGACAGGTCACTCATATACATAAAATAAATAAATAAATAAATAAATAAATAAATAAATAAATAAATAAAAGCTGTCGGGCAGTAGTGGCACACGCCTTTAATCCCTGCACTGGGGAGGCAGAGCCAGGTGGGTTTCTGTGAGTTCGAGGCCAGCCTGGTCTACAAAGCGAGTTCCAGGAAAGGCGCAAAGCCACACAGAGAAACCCTGTCTCGAAAAACAACAACAACAACAACAACAAAAAAAAAGAGCTTAGGAAATAAAGAGGATAAGAGACCATTAGAGTTAGGCTGCCAGATTTCATATGAACATTTCTGATTAGTTCTAAATTTTTGAAGATGCTCTTGGAATTTCTTGGTATACAATCATATTGCTTATGGATATCTTGATCCTTTCCCCCAGTTATTCTGCTTATTTTTACTTTTTAATGCACAAGATAGGATTCACAATAAGATGCTATAGAATGGTAATTCTTGTTTTTTCCCATCTAAAGGAACAGTCTGAGTTTTCTCTTGAACACGGCATAATGGCAATTAACGTAACTGAGTCTTATCTTTGAACAAAAAAAGCAGTAGCTCTCTTGCTCTGTGCTGTTTCCCCAACTTATTAATTTCTTCCTAATTCAAATTGTTTGTTTAACCTATTCTTTTTTTTAATTAATTACACTCATGATATTCATTAATTACAGTCATGTTATTAATTACATTTGTGGTATTCATTGATTGCATTGGCAGTATCCATTCAATAACTATATTTATGGTATTCATTAATTACATTAATTGTATTGATTTATTACATTCATGATATTATGTCCTGACACCACTGTCCATTTGTGGGGCTTTTCCATCACACAAAACAGAAATTCTGTACTTAGGAAATAATTGCTCTATATTCCTTTCTTCTCCATATTGAGATAACGTCTGATCTTTCTGTCTCTATGAATGTGTATATTCCATATTTCATGTAAAACAATTTTATAGTATTTGTCCTTTTTTTGAATGTAGAAATATTTTATGTATAACTGCAGGAGAAATAATACATAGATAGATAGCCTGAACATATTTAAATAAGTACTCTAGAGGAAGATTCTTGGGCGTAACAATCCTACTCCCACCAAAACCCCATTTTTTCAACCAGTGGGTCCAGAAGGGCTTCTACGAGGGAAAAAACAAACAAAAAACCAAAACCCCCGACTACCTATCGAGGCTATTTAAAAGCAGTTAGTTACATGGGCTGAGCAGGAGTGTGTTCCACATAGACGGCACGTGCATAGGCTTCGAGGCAAGAGAGAGCTTAGAGCATTAAGACACTGAAAATCGCTAGCATTACACTGATGTCACAGAGGTGGGGGCAAGTTGAACCACTTCAAGGTGTAGGGATAGTCGAGATGCAGGACCAGAAGAAGCTCTCTGATGGCTGGGCTACTCTCAATTTGCATCCCCCCACCCCTCCGTCCTTCTGGGAGGGCATCCTCAACCAAGTCAGATTAGCACAGCGTTGGGATCACAGCTGGGAGAGATGGGAGACCCCAAAGCGTTCTGCTGCTGAGGCACCAAAGACGCGTCCTCAGTGCCTGTGCCCAAGGACCAGAACTCAATGGCAGTCTGAGGGAGAACGCGCGCTGGGTAACCGCTTCCTTTACCGCGCCATTCTCGCTGGTCTTCGTCAGGCAGCCGGCCAGCGACGAAAAGATGTAGCCGTGCCGGGTGTAGGTGCCGCTACCGGGGCTGCCTTCCTCCAAGTTACACAGACGTTCGCCTGCAGAAGAAATGCTGCATCAACCACGGGCACCCAGAAGCTGGTTGTCACGCAGCATGGGATCGCGTACAGAGACCGTTCACTTACCGGGGATGCAGTATCTCACAGGTGGTGCCATGCTTGCCCCTGTCCAAAACCCGGATGAAAACGAAGCCGAGTGTGCATTAGTTAACTAGAGGAGCGGCCCCGCAGTAACACGTGCAGCGATTGGTGCCTTTGTCCGCGTGCTGCGAGAGCGACTCCATTTCCCAGGCTGCCCCGGGACAGACCTCTAGGCGAACCTTTGCGGGCTCCGGGACTCGCGCCTGCGCAGCTTGATGATGGGCCGGCGGCGGGACCCGGTCCGCTGGCTGGTGCTGCGGGCTGCGGGCCATGGTGGGTCAGACTGAGATTGGCCCGGCCCGGGTCCCGAGCTGGAGCCGGGGGCACTGAGCGGCGGGCAGGGCGGCTGGACTGAATTTGGCTGAGTGAGAAGCTGGCAGGAGGCAGGTAAGGGTGAAGGCGCGGCGCTTGCTTCCCACCCGAGTGTCAGGTGTCCAGGCCTTTAAGTTCAAGTTCCTGTTCTCTCCACGCCCCGTCCTGCGTGCTTGTGCCCTCCTGAGCCCGAGCGCACCTCAGCCCCGATCTGGCGCTCCAACTTGCCCATTTCATTGGTTTGGAGACTCAGATCCAGAGACAGGGTTTGGCTTGTCCAAAGTCTCGAAGATAATTCGAGACAGCACAAGCCTAAGACTATTTTTTAACCTGAGCGCATCATAGTTACGAGTCCGCTGCTCTTGGAAACAACCTTTCTCTGGTTCGGTAAAACCACAGATTCTTCCCTTGCAGGCAGATGCTTTAGAGTGTGGGCCCCTCCTTAACTGTGAATGAGCATCTCCCAGCTCACATTTCCACTCCTTTTCTTTCTTCCTTTCTTTTTAGCATGTTAGCAGGGAAAGAAGTCTTCATAAATAGAATATTGTGATTTATTGATGTCTGAGTCTGACATCAGCTTGAGGTGGCAGAGGTCAGGGGAGCAAGCATTTTTTGTGCGGATGAAATTTGCCCTGACTTTGATCGCGGTTTCATCTGTTGGCTTTGGAATTTATTCTTTTCTCCCCTTCCCTCTCTGCCTATCAGGCTTTTTGGGGACACAGATGGTGATTTAAGGGAGTGCTGTTGCCTGCTAATCTCTAAGCTGGTGGCAGATGGCCACTGTGACCTGTGGGAACTACTGAGGGGTGGCACTATTAAGGGTTTGAAGGGACTGTGCTTGCCCATTCACTCTGAGGTCATCCATGCCCTCTTGCCATGATTAGATTTAAAATTTTTGTCTTTTCTGTATTTCCTGAGGTAAAACCTTTGTTTCACTTTTGGCCTATGGACAATACATCCTTTCCTAGCATCCTCATATCCCCATGTCCCACTAGCTAAAGTGAGGATAGGGGCCTGGTCTTACATTTTGTTCACTCAAATTTGATCAGCATCTTTCAACTTTACATGATCAGCTTTCCACATTACATGTTTGGTTTCTGGTTTGATTTGCCCTCTAAAATGTATTATTGCTCTTTAGTGCTACGGTTCTAATAACGGTTCTATTTCTTTACTAATCAGAAAGGATGAGAGCTGCAAATACTTTGGTGTTGTCCCATTGGCAAGAGTGCCCTTGCTGGCTCCTGTAGAGCTGACCAGCCTTTCCAGTTTTGTGTCTGTCCAGGTCATTCATTCAACAACAGGTATTTATTGAATGCTTCTATGAGCCAGGTATTATGCTAAGATGTTTATAAGCATTTGATTTAACGTGTGTGTGTGTGTGTGTGTATGTATGTGTATGTATGTGCAGATATGTATTTGTATGTATTAAAAAAAATAAAGTTTGGGCCAGGCATGGTGATGCACGACTTTAATTCCAGCACTCAGGAGGCAAACACAGTTACATCTCTGTGAGTTCCAGGACAGCTAGGGCTGTTACATAGAGAAACCCTAAAACAAAAAAAAAAAAAATTTAAGGTTTAGAGAAAGAGGTAACTGGGACTACTTCGGGAAAGAATTGTGCCCTAAATAGGGTACAGATAGATGAGACTTGGTCAGTCGAGCCTTTGAAGTAGGCGTTTCTTGCAGAATCAAGAATGCAGGAGGTGACAATCTGATTTTCTAAGGTTTTTTTTAAACTTTTTCTTTTTTTAAGATTTATTTATTATGTATACAGTGTTCTGCCTGTATGTGTGCACATCAGAAGAGGGTGCCAGATCACATTACAGTGGTTGTGAGCTACCATGTGGGTGCTGGGAATTGAACTCAGGACCTCTGAAAAAACAGCTGGTGCTCTTAACCTCTGAGCCATCTCTCCATCCCTGGTTTTTTTTTTTTTAAAGACATGGTCTCATGTATTCATGCTGGCCGCTAACTGGCTCTGTAGCCAAGGGTGATTTTGACCTTCTGATCCTCTTGCCTCCAGGTGTACATATACCTCAGTTTTGAGGATTTTTATTTTTTATTTTTTTATTTTTTTGGTTTTTCGAGACAGGGTTTCTCTGTGTAGCTTTGCGCCTTTCCTGGAACTCACTTGGTAGCCCAGGCTGGCCTCAAACTCACAGAGATCCGCCGGCCTCTGCCTCCTGAGTTCTGGGATTAAAGGCGTGAGCCACCACCGCCCGGCTATTTTTTATTTTTTATTTTATTTTGTTTTTTGTTTTTTGAGACAGGGTTTCTCTGTGTAACAGCCCTGGCTGTCCTGGAACTTACTCTGTAGACCAGGCTGGCCTCAAACTGGCAGAGATCTGCCTGCCTCTGCCTCCTGAGTGCTGGGATTAAAGGCATGCACCACCACCGCCGCCCGGCTAGTTTTGAGGATTTTTATTAGACAGGGTCTCACTATGTAGCTCTGACTGTCCTAGAACTCATTGTGTAGACCAGGCTGGCCTATACAATGATCTCACAGAGAGATCAACCTGCTTTTGCTTTCTGAGTGCTGGGATTAAAGGCATGCATTACCACGCTCAGCTTTTTGAGGATTTTTTTAAGACTAATCATAATAGCTCTTAGGTGACATATAATTTGCATTTATTACGAATTAGGAAAGTATCTGAGTTTTGCACACTATCATTATAAAAAGTATTTCAGCAACTAGAACACTCTCCATTACTCCTAAAAAGAGAATATGCAGTGGTACACTCCTGTGGGACAGTTAGCTCCATCCCATTTTTTTTTTTTTTTAAAAGAGGGTCTCTGAAGACTTTTTTTTAAAAATTTATTTATTTGTATTTTATGTACAGTGGTGTTTTGCCCACACGTATGTCTGTGTGAGAGTGTTGAATCCCCTGGAACAGGAGTTATAGACAGTTGTGAACTGCCATGTGGGTGCTAGGAATTGAACCTGGGTCCTCTGAAGACCAGCCAGTGCTCCTAACCACTGAGCCATCTCTCCAGCCCCTATCCATCCCATTCTTATACTTGGTTGGGGCCAGCTACAAAATTCATGATTTTCCAAATCATGAGTCTAAGTAATAGCAGTCCAACTCAAAGATGGTGTAAGTATGATGCTTTCCATTTTTCCTTTTCCTTTTCTTTTTTTTGGGGGGGGAGGGGAGAGCAGACAGGGTTTCTCTGTGTGGCCCTTGCTATTCTGGAACTCACTCTGCCTCCTGAGTGCTGGGATTAAAGGTATGCACCACCGCTGCCAGCCTCAGTTTTTCTTTTCTGCATTTCCTGTTGATTCTTCCGGCTTCTCGGGAAGGGATGGAAGGCCAGTTTCTATCCCTGGTGCAGTGTCCATTGGTCTCTCCCCAGTAGGCTCCAGTTTTCTTAAAGGCCTTTTTTGCAGGGTTTCTCTTCACCTTTTGGTTCCCAAGCTTGTGGAAGGAAATAATTATTTTCTTTGTAAAGCCTTTTGTGGGGATGAACCGGGGTGCAAGAAGAGTCCATTACTCCAGTTACTGAACTGAAACCCATCTCCACAGCAGAGTAACCGAGTCCAGTTTCTGCTGGGTTATGAGCTGCCTGTTAAATAAGTCAGTGGGGTTGCTGAGGACAAAGCACTATTCCCTGTCCAGCGATGAAACATTAGTTTAGGCAGCCAAGGAGACTATCGTAGAAAGTCTGGGAGTCTCCGGGTCCACAGTTGTGTTCATTGCTTGGGCCCAGTGCACAGATGGAGGCACATTAAGAGGAGCCATGGAGAGTGCTGAGAGCCAGGAAGGTGCTTGGGAAGCTTGGGGCCGAGAGCATCAGTCACAGAAGTGCTGCTTAATCAGAGAAGACCTGGAAAAGCTCCCAAGGGGGCAGCTCCTTCTTACCACTTGTCTGGCGCTCTGAATACCTGAAGTTACCTTGACTGCTATAATCCTGGCTTAGGGCTGGGAGTGGAACTGGAGACAGAGTATCTTATGTCATGCAAGTGGTGGCTGACTGTCCTAACGGGGAACAAGGAATCATGTCATCTGGTTGGCCTATAACCTCAGCCCAGATGGATTAGGAACACTTGGATAGGATCAGGAGAGTTCCAGAGTCAGGATCCTGTGTATTACAGAGCAAGCAGGAGATCCTTGGAACCCCACCCACACCCCTGCCTCAGTGCCTTAGGAAGATATAGAGGGGGCAGCTTTGTTTATGTTGGTTAAGCTTTACTCCATGGTCTGTCTAGACAGATTTCTCCAAAACAAACAAGTAAACAAACAAACCAAAACAACAAAACCCCGCAGGGAGCTGGGGAGCTGGCTTAGCTGTTAAAGTATGGCTCCACAAGCATGGTGACCTAAGTTTGATCCCATAGAACTCATGTGAAAAGACGAGTGTGTCTGTCTCTAATCCTAGTGCCTGAGAGGCAGAGACAGGTGGGTCCCTGGAGCTTGTATAGCTGAATTGGTGAGTTTGAGATTTAGTGAAAAACCCTGTCTCAAAAATAAGAGGTGTATGTATGTGACAGGGATAGGTGTAGTGTTAGCTGAAAGAGATGGTTCAGCAGTTGAGAATACTTGTTGCTGTTCTTTTTTTTTTTTCCTCGAGTAAGGGTTTCTCCTTGTAGTTTTGGAGCTGGCCTCGAACCCACAGAGATCTGTTTGGCTCTGCCTCCCAAGTGCTGGGATTAAAGGCATGCACCGCCGCCGCCATCTGGCGCTGTTTATTATTATTACTGTTATTATTTTTGTTTTTCAAGACAGGTTTCTCTGTGTAGCTCTGGCTGTCCTGGAGCTCGCCCTATAGACCAGGTTGGCTTTGAACTTTGAGATCTCCTGCTTTTGCCTCCCAAGTGCTAGGATTAAAGGTACATGTCACCATGCCCAGCCCAACACTTGATAATCATGCAGAAGACTCAGCACATATATGGCAATTCACAGCCATCTGTAACTTCAGCTCCAAGGGATCTGACACCCTCTTCTGGCTTCTGGGCACCAGGCACACACATGGTACTTGTACATACATGCAAGCGTTCACAAAATAAAATAAATTTTTAAAAAAGTATGTGGAGAGTAACTAGGGAAGAGACACCTGATACCCAGTTCTGGCCTCTACACATGTGCTGTACACACACAAAAGAACGCCTCTGACTTGGAGCCAACTATTTCTCCCTTTACTGTGGCCATTCAGGTGTAAATTACCTGGGATTTGCTGCATAATCTTGTAGTGTAATGTAACTACTACTTTTATAGCCTCAGAACCGTCAGTCCCTATCTCCTGTAATATGGTTGGCATAGTGACATTAGAAATTCTGTAGAAAAGTGACCTTTTTGTCTTTCCACAGCTGAGGACTAGCCTAATGTCCTAATTAGGCCTTAGTCTTGAGAAGTCCTCTAAGTTGATGTTTTGAGCCTTCTCATTTGGGTAAGGTGGGACAAGGCTCAGGCTGGATCCTTATATTAGTATATTCTCCTAGGAGCCATGCGGGGCCAGCGGAGTCTGTTGTTGGGCCCAGCCCGCCTCTGTCTGCGTCTCCTTCTGCTCCTGGGTTACAGGCGTCGCTGCCCACCTCTGCTCCGGGGCCTGGTACAGCGCTGGCGTTATGGCAAGGTTTGCCTGCGCTCCCTGCTCTACAATTCCTTTGGAGGCAGTGATACTGCTGTTGATGCTGCCTTTGAGCCTATCTACTGGCTGGTGGACAATGTGATCCGCTGGTTCGGAGTGGTAAGTGATGATGCCCAGGGAGCCCAGGAGAGGGGATGTTTTGTGGGAAGAGGGTATTTCTGATGGGTTCACACTAAGCTTTGGAAGCCAACCTGCCATGCCCAGGGAAGTTCCTGAGTCTTGATGGGTATAGCTCTCTCATGGTGTCTTCTTGACCTCACTGGTGTTGGCAGGTGTTTGTGGTGCTGGTGATCGTGCTGACTGGGTCCATTGTGGCCATTGCTTATCTGTGTGTCCTGCCCCTCATCCTTCGAACCTACTCAGTCCCACGACTCTGCTGGCATTTCTTCTATAGTCACTGGAATCTGATCCTCATCGTCTTCCATTACTACCAGGCCATCACCACTCCTCCTGGATACCCACCCCAGGTGGGACCCCACTGGGGAATGGGGAGGAGCAGAGTTGCACGCTATGGTAGCCAGTTCCATTAATGGGAGGGAGAGTGACTTGCAATCTTTTGGGACAGAAGTCTTGTGGTGCTACAGTGGTCAAGATGTTCTTCTCAATTTGCACAGGGCAGGAATGACATTGCTACCGTCTCCATCTGTAAGAAGTGCATTTACCCCAAACCAGCCCGAACACACCACTGCAGCATCTGTAATAGGTGGGTCTTAGCTTTGCTGTAAACCTCATTTGAGGCCCTCTTGCTGTAACCCTAAGGAAAACCGGGCCCTGCAACTAGTTGTGTATCCAAGTACCTATTAAGATCTAGGCACTGTGCTTCCCATCTGCTGATTCCTAGTCTTCAGGACGATCCTGTGAGTGAGGCATTATTGCTACTTGTACAAACTGAGGTGACAGGATGTCTCCTTGTCACCTAGCCATAAACAACAGCACTGGGTTTGAAGGAAGGCCTGTCATCAGAGTCTGTGCCTTTCCATCTCAGCAAGATGCTGGTCCTAGTAGGAAAGGATTGTCACTGACTTCTCAAGATCCTTGGCCACTGTAACAGAGCCTGTGTTCCTCCCTCACAGGTGTGTGCTGAAGATGGATCATCACTGCCGTATCCTTTTGCTCTCTTCAGCCCAAGACCCAGCCAAGATGTCGTTTTTACCCACACTCACTCACCGCACAGGGTTCATAGTCATAATCAAGGCTTTCTAACTAGCATTAATCTCTAGAGAATACTGGCTCATGAGAAGTTAGTAGGAGAGGCATTGTTGGGAGCAGAATATTTACATACTTTTTAGAATGGATCTTGTAGGAGAAAGGAATTTTCTGGCAGGTCTTTTGTGGAGAATCAAAAGGTGTTTGGGCCTCTGTGGCTGGAGGCACCAGATAAAACTGTGGGTCCTGTTTTGTCTTTCCATGCAGAAGTCCGGCTAGCCTGAGTTAGGCTGAATATTTGCAGGTGGTTAAGATTTCTTGGTGGAATCTGAAAGCTCTGAAAAGCTTAGACAATTTTTACCTTAACCTTGGGAAACTGTCCTCTATTTTCCTGCCTTTGTGCTTGGGTGATTCCATGAACTAAGGATGAGCTGTAGGGGCTTGGACACCCCCAAATTATATTTGATCTTGTCCTTAATCATTCCTCCACCAGCCTGGCTAAACAATTGTGTGGGCCACTATAACCATCGCTACTTCTTCTCTTTCTGCTTTTTCATGACTCTGGGCTGTGTCTACTGTAGCTACGGAAGTTGGGACCTTTTCCGGGAGGCTTATGCTGCCATCGAGGTGAGCCCTTGGCTAGGAAGAGAGAAACTCAACAGAACAGAACCCTTTCCCCAATGATTGGGTTGGTAGTTCCCTGTCTTAGTGGCCCAAGAGTATAACCAGCACTGTTTTCCATCCCCTTAGAAAATGAAACAGCTTGACAAGAACAAACTACAGGCAGTTGCCAACCAGGTGGGCAGTCTCCACGCCACTGCCTCCTGCTGCTCAGGCCTGGGGGTTCAAGAGTTACTTAGGTGAAAGGGCCTGCTAGTTTACTTACAGGCTAGCTGCCAGACCAGGCCGGTTTCTAAGGAAGCTGTCATGGCAGACTAAGTGGCCTGGGGGCAAACTACAAGTCTCTGGTATGGCAGTTCTAAGTCATCTGTCCCATTAACGCTTCTTTGGGCTGAGCCTGGACTCTGCCTTCAGGATGGCCTGAGCAGCAAGGGGTCTATGTTAGTCTGTGTAATGGGGTTCCAGGGGTAGACAGCACACTAGGCCCGCAGCTTCAGGATCGTTTCCCCTCCCTGTTCCGTTTAGGAACCCTTACTCTGGGCACTTCTTGGACTTGTATATTGTACTCCTGTTGCTTTTTCACAGCATACACCCCCCGTTAGTCCATGCCAGGTATAGATCTCTTGTGGATGTAGCCACACAGAGAAGGAAATGTGGTTGGCTAGAGAAGAATGGTTTCCCCTGGAGTCCCATTACTGCTGTTAACCCTCAAGCTCAGTTAGCTCCTTTTGTGCTTGGCTATCTTGTGCAGACCTGCTCTACCCACTGTCTGTTCATGTGATGGTGCCACTGGGCTTGGTCCACCCATCTGGCTGCTGGTCTGATGTCCTCTGTGGCTTTCATCCCCATTTTTATCTGCCTAGTTTTATATTAGTTCCTGCCTGTAGGTGCTTGGGGCTCTGGTGGCAGTTGCTGGAGACTGACAGAGCAAGGGAGCCAGGCTTTGCTGTTTTCTTTTGTAGACTTACCAGCAGACTCCACCACCTACCTTCTCCTTTCGAGAAAGAATAACTCACAAGAGTCTTGTCTACCTCTGGTTCCTGTGCAGGTATTTAACTCAGCTTTGGTAGTTTTAAGGGAGGGAAACATTTGTAGGTACCCATCCACAGGGAGGATGTAGTGCTGGGTGAACTGCCATTGTCCTAGTCTGAGGCTGCAAAGAGTGCTTCTCTTCGGTATTTTGGGGCAGAGAACAGTAAGGATATAGCATTTCTGGTTATTAATACAATCATGCTTGTTATGTGCCAAAGTAAGTTAAGCTCTTGTTTTATTGATTCCTAACCACAGAACAGGTGACTCCATTTACTGAGAAGGGAAATTGAAAACTCGGAGGAGTCAAGGGATTTGTCCTACGATGTATAGCTAGAAGTTGCAGAGTTGAAGTATGAATTTCTGCCAATCCCCAATCCAACCTCTAGTGCTTGTATGATTCTTCACTACTTTTTCCCCCCTTGGTTTTTTTTTTTTTTTTTTTTTTTTTTTTTTTTTTTTTTGGTTTTTCGAGACAGGGTTTCTCTGTGTAGCTTTGCGCCTCTCCTGGAACTCACTTGGTAGCCCAGGCTGGCCTCGAACTCACAGAGATCCGCCTGGCTCTGCCTCCCGAGTGCTGGGATTAAAGGCGTGTGCCACCACCACCCGGCGGTTTTTTTTTTTTGAGACAGGGTTTCTCTGTGTAGCCCTGGCTATCCTGGGACTCACTCTGTAGACCAGGCTGTCCTTGAACTCAGAGATCTGCCTGCTTCTGCCTCCCTAGTGCTGGGATTAAAGGTGTGCACTACCATACCTGGCCCTCTATTATTTTCTGTTTTTGTTTTTTTTTTTTTTTAATGTGCATTGGTGTTTTGCCATAGGTGTTGGGTCTCCTGGAACTGGAGTTACAGACAGCTGTGAGCTGCCATGTGGGTGCTGGGAATTGAACCTGGGTCCTCTGGAAGAACAGTCAGTGCTCTTAACCATTTATCCATCTCTCCAGCCCTACATCATCTTTTTTTTTTTTTTTTTAATTTATTTTTACTTTATATGCATTGGTGTTTTGCAAATTGGTGTCCTGTTGCATGGAACTAGAGTTAGACAGTTGTCAGCTGCCATGTGGGTGCTGGGAATTGAACTGAGGTCTCGGGAAGAGCAGCCAGTGCTCTTAACCACTCAGACATTTCTCCAGCCCCTCCACTATTTTCTAAGTATGGGCATTTTAAGAAAATCTACATTTTTCTCAGTAGTACTCATTTTCCCATCTTCCTTCCCATACCAATTTTTTCCAGCTTACTTCAATAGATCTTTAAGAGGTAGAATACATGTTCACCTAGGCCATATATGAGGAGATAAGTGAGGCAGAGAGGCCATGAGCCAGTCATAACCACAAGCTCCATTTCCCACTGTTTTCTAGCTTCTAATTTCTGTCCATTTTTGTCTCTTTTCTTAGTTCTGTGGCACTGGCTCTTGGTGCCCTAACCATATGGCACGCTGTTCTCATCAGTCGGGGTGAGACTAGCATCGAAAGGCATATCAACAAGAAGGAGAGACGTCGGTTACAGGCCAAGGGCAGAGTGAGTGGGAAAGAGGGGACTTGGGTGAGCAGGTGGGTAACTGATCCTACATCTAATAAACAGGCCATGATTAGGGCTGACTAGACAAGTTCCTAGGATTTTTGTTGTTTCTTTTGTTTGTTTAAGCTGGGTCTCATTATGTGGTCCTGGCTGGCCTGGAATTCTCCAGACAGTCTGGCTGTCTACCTCCGGAGTACTGGGATCAAAGGCATGGATCATCACAACCAGCAGACAGACATCATAAAAAATTATAATTTTGATTACTGGAGCTCTATCCTTATCTCCAAGATGACAAGGAGATTAAGTAGAAGAGGTCTGTAGAAATGTATTTTCCTTGTCTCTAGGTATTTAGGAATCCTTACAACTACGGCTGCTTGGACAACTGGAAGGTGTTCCTAGGTGTGGATACAGGAAGGTAAAGTAAAGACAGAGAGCAGTGCTATGCAACAGAACTTTGTGATGGGGAAGATAGTCCATACCCAGAAGCAAAGATTGTAATTGGCTGAAGGTAAAGACAGACAGTGCTGTGGAACCAAACTCCCATGACAAGGAAAATGGTCTCTTCACAGAAGCAGAGAATGTGGCCAGTGCCACTGGGGGTTTGTAATGAGGTTTCATCCTCAGGAATAGGAATATCCATTTTATTTGAGCCAGCGGGGCCTGAGGCTAAAACTACAAATTCGAGGAAGTATCTGTTGTATGCACATCATGTGTATGCTTGGTGCCTGAGGTCATCAGGAGAGGGCACTGGATGGATCCTTTGGGACTGGAATTATAGATGGTTATAAGTTATGTGGCTGCTAGGAATCAAACCCAGGTCCTCTACAGGAGCAACAAGTACTCTCAAATGCTGAGCTACCTCTACAATCCTTCAAACTGTGGTTTGAGATGATGTTCAAGACGACTACAGAAGCGTACTGAGAAAGCAGTTCTTAGGAAAGGGCATATAGGTAGGATGTAGTCATGAGTGATCTTTTACTTGTATGGCAGTACAGTATATCTGGGGTTCAAGCCAACAATGTGAGAGACTGGGGTAACCTACATGTTGCAGAGGTCCTACAACAGTATGAGGCTAGATCTATTCAGTCCAAGAGACTAGAGAAAACCATTTTTCATACTGCAAACTACTAGGCCAGGCACACTTGTGCACATCTAATCCAAGCACTTGGAAGTCACAGGCAGGAATATCAGGGGTTTGATGACCTTGTCTCCCTCACCCCATTTCATCCCTGACAGTTACTGAAAGAGTAATAATGAGGTGGTGAATAGAGTACTTTCCTTTCTTTCTGCCTTATCCTCATTACATTTATTCCACCCACCAGTGTGCCTGCTTAAAAGACTGGGCTGGGTATGGCAGCCCACACCTGTAATTCCAGCACTTCGGAGACCAGGGCAGTAGGATCAGTAATTAACAGCCAGCCTGGGCTACACAGTGACAACCCTATCTTGAAACAAAAATAAGTGACTAGAATTGAGAAGCCCATACCCACAGAAGAGTATGTGCAAACTTCTTAAGCCCCACCCCCCACATATAACTTCCCTAACATCACATGCTCTCTTTGTACTTAAATGTTCTTTAAAACCTTTTCTTTCTTTTTTTTTTTTTTTTTTTTTTTTTTTGTTTTTTGAGACAGGATAGCCTTTCTGTGTAGCCTTGGCTGTCTTGGAACTCAAGAGATCCGCCATCTCTTGTACCACCACCTCCCAGCAACCCCCAGAGGATATGTTCTCAGACAGATTCAGATGGAGATTAGAACTCCCATTGCTGTAGGATGGTCTGTATGTCAAGTGTGTTGCTGATTGGTCAGTAAATAAATCACTGATTGGCCAGTGGCCAGGCAGAAGTATAGGTGGGACAAGGAGGAGAATAAAGCTGGGAAGTGGAAGGCTGAGTCAGAGAGACACTGCCAGCCACCAGGATGACAAAGAGCATGTGAAGATGCTGGTAAGCCTCGAGCCACGTGGCAAGGTATAGATTTATAGAAATGGATTAATTTAAGCTGTAAGAACAGTTAGCAAGAAGCCTGCCACGGCCATACAGTTTGTAAGCAATATAAGTCTCTGTGTTTACTTGGTTGGGTCTGAGTGGCTGTGGGACTGGCAGGTGAGAGAGATTTGTCCTGACTGTGGGCCAGGCAGGAAAACTCCAGCTACATCCCATCTTTGTGTTTGATGTGTGCTTGCACAGGAAGAACAACTAAGAACTCAGTACTAAAGAGACATTTTCTTGGTCATTTCTCACAGGCATTGGCTGACCCGGGTGCTGTTACCTTCTAGTCACTTACCCCACGGGAATGGAATGAGCTGGGACCCTCCTCCCTGGGTGACCGCTCACTCAGCCTCTGTGATGGCCGTGTGAGCCACAACTTGAACATGATGCTTGATATGTCTCTCTCAAGAGCTTCCAAGGGCAGCTTTCTTGGAATCCATGACCATAAAGAGCCACTAGGTCTGCCTTAGAGTACTACTTAGGGACAACTCAAGAGCAATTTTCTGGCCACCTCAAAACAAGATACAGCCAGGTGGTGGTGATGCATGCCTTTGATCCCAGCACTTGGGAGGCAGGCAGGCCGATCTCTGAGTTCCAGGCCAGCCTGGTCTACAAAGGGAGTTCCAGGACAGTCAGGACTGTTACACAGAGAAACCCTGTCTCGACAAACCAAAAAAAAAAAAGATAATGTGGAGAAATCCTAGGACTGATGTCCCTTTACTCAGGCAAACAAGTTTTAGCCCCAGACAAGGGGTCAGGCAACTAGCTACCTTGTCCAGTGCTGACTCTGATGCCCTCTAGGTCACAGCACTGGGGCTAGCAACCATCTCTTTCACTTTGGGAAAAGATTCATCAGGTATGTTGAAATTCTGGCTTCTGAATGGGACAGAGACACTAAGCCTATTGCCAAGGTCACTGCCATTTCTCACGTGCTGCAGAAGGAGCAAAAATAAAGGCATTTAATTTGTAAAGATAAGTAGCTTCTATGTCTGACTTGGTGATGGGGGAGGTCAGGCTCAAGAAGCCCTTATCTTGAAGGGCTAGGAGCTCTCCATAACTCTATGTGCTACTACAGCATATGTAGGATAAAGGGAATACATGTCAATCAACCCATTACCAAAAACAACAACAACAACAACACCTTTATTCTCTGGCAGGTATACACACGTTAACACCATCCCTGGCCCACAAGGTCCCACTCAACCATTCACCCTTCAGCAGGATAGCTCCCTTTTCCTGACATAGGATATAGGAGAGCCTCAAGATCCAACATCTTTCCCTCAAATACAAGTCTCACTCACTTTCTTCAACAGTCCATTAGAAATCAGGACACTTAAGTGTCTTGTACAGCCATGCAGGAGAGGCCCAGCATTTGTACTGCATCCATGGGGAAGACAGGCCAGTAGTCTCCTTGCCTTGTAGGATGGCTCCAAGGTTAGTACTTGCAGGTTAGATTGTCAGAAGGGTCTAGGCCAGGATGGAGGGCTCAGCTGCCTGGGCTCCCCAGTAGAAACCTGTAGGCACAAAGAATATTGTAACACTACTTTGAGGTTTTCCTGGGTCCCATCACTCCCTTCAGCCTACAGCTTACCACTCTCCTCTCGCAGACACTGCTTCCTTGCGGACAAGTCTCTTCTTGTCATCCAGGGGCTTGGCTAAGGCCCGGATCACCCGTGATTTGTACGGCAGTAGCTGTGAAGTCAGAGGACATCATCTTACTCTTGCTGAACTGAGCAATAGGAAATGCTGCTTCTCTGATGGGAGTGAAATGTGACCCATTTTTAAGAATTATTTTTTATGTGTATGGGTGTTTTTTGTCTGCCTGGTGCCATGAGGCCAGAAAAGGGCATTGAATCCCCTAGGATTGTTGTTACAAACGGTTGTGAGCTGCCATGTGGGTGCTAGGAATCAAACCCAGGTCTTCTAAAAGAATAGCCAGGCTCTTAAGCAATGAGCCATCTCTCCAGCCTCATGCCCATCTTTTTTTTAAAAGTTTTTTAATATGAGGGTTTGAATGCCAGCCCTCACATGTACAATACATTCCATGTGCCTCCCCCCCCCCTTTTTTTTGGATTTTTGAGACAGGGTTTCTCTGTGTAGCTTTGCGCCTTTCCTGGAACTTACTCTGTACCCTAGGCTGGCCTCAAACTCGAAGAGATCCACCTGCCTCTGCCTCCCAAGTGCTGGGATTAAAGGTGTGCCCTATTCTTTAATGATTCTAAATTGACAGGAAGAGGCAGGATGACCAATATTATGAGGTGGTCAGGATTTAATGGATCCATTCTGAGCTCAAGGCATATGGGGGAATCTATGCGTATACCACGTATGTAGTTCTATCTTCTCACACAGAGCTGGGTGACTAATCTCACTTGAAAGCAAACAAGTACTCTACCAGGTATGGAAGTGCACACTTGTAACCCCAACACTGGAGTGGGATGATGATAGCGAGACAGGCCAGCTTGGATGACGAGAGACCACTCTGTCTCAAACAAGCACTTCTGACTCTTCAGACTTACCACAGGAGCGGGCAGGCGAGTCAGAGCATGCATACATTGCAGAGCAGCAATCCGGACAGCCTGGAACACACATGAGGTCAGGGCTAACAAAAGGAGAAAGGTACTACAGGATGTGCTGGGATTCAACGCACCATTGAATGACTGGAGCTGAGGGCCAGGAATTTGGTGACCAGAGTATCAACATGAAGACTCATGATTTGGGGTGCTTCCAGTAGAAGGGGCTGGAGACAGCTCAGAGTGGAAAGCTGGACCACGGAATCAGGGCAGGACAGTGCCTCCAGCAGCAAGGAAAGGAGCTAAGAGCCAATGGAAAATGGGGTGCACATTATGGTCTTGGGAGGACAGCCCTCTCCCTTCCTGAGGGGTGACTGTAGGACTTACTGTGGGCAACTCTGGTAAAAGCACAGGCTTGGGCAGCCTGTTGAGTACATGAGACAGACCCTTTAGATAGTTTGGCTTCACATCTGGGGGAAAAAGAAAAAGGTGTTTAGGAGAAAAACTGAGGTTAGACATTCATTTTGAGAATTCAACTCGAATCTAACAAAGTGGGTATATCAAGCTATAATAATGAGTAATGAGTGTGGTAGCTATAGTTACAGCTCAGCAGGCTGAGGCAGGGGATTCAAGGCCAGCCCACGCCACAGTGTGAGACCTGGCTAAAGAAAAGTGAGGTTGAGGCTAGGGGAGATAGCTGACGTGGTAAAGTGCTTTCTGTGAACACGCAGACTTGAGTACGAGTCCCACTGAACTGTGTAGATAGACAAGTGTGGCAGTGCACACCTATAATGCCAGCCTTGGGGGAGTGGAGACAGAGTACCTGGGGCTTGCTGGCCAGCTGATCTAGCCAAAGCAGCAAGCTCAAGGTTCACTGAGAGATCCTCTCTCAGAAATGAAGTGGAAGGGCTGGCAAGATAGCTCCTTAGGTAAAGACTCTTGCCTTTCTGACTTGAGCTCAATCCCTGGAACCCATTTGGCACAACTAACTTTTGCAAGTTGTTCTCTGAGCACATACATCAATATGATGTGAACAAGGGAAGAACACTAAGTCAGACCAGCAAGGGAGTAGGTAAGGGCACCTGCTGTTTGCCTGACGATTTGAGTTCAATTCTTGGGACCTACATCGTGGACGGAGACACCTCTACAGACATATTGTGGTGTGCAAATAATAAAAAGATGTGATGACTTGGCTTCCACATGTATGTACATACACACACACACACACACACACACACACACACACACACACACACACACACACAGAGTTTAACACTAAGACTTTTGAGCTCACAATAGCTCAGATGCACTCATCAGAAAGGTGGGATGGAAGTATGGCTTTGTAGGTGCAGACCACTCTGAGGATAAAGCATCTGGTCTTAAATTACTGTGGGGACTGTCCAAGAGGAGAGGTCCATGGATTTGGGGACCAGCTTTCAGACACCTTGGGGAGCAGCATGGAAGCCTTGGACCAAAGCAGGCACATTGTCTGTGAAGAACCGCTGGCGGAACATAATCCGAACATCAGCATGGCCGGCACGAGTCAACACATCAGTGCAGTCAGACATGAGCAGAGAGAAGCCATCAGCAGCTGCAGGGCCTAGTTCTGGATCACTGAGGAGACCCGTGAGCTGGTGGGACCAAAAAGAAAAAGTCTTTATGTTGGAAAGAAAACTCTCAAATACCAAAGAGGATGAAAGCCTTATGAGAATAAGAGACAAGGGTCTGGAGAGGTGGATCAGTGGTTGAAAGCACTTGTTGTTCAACTGGAGAACTTGGGTTCGGTTCCCAGCACCCACAAGGTGTCTTACAACCATTTATAACTCCATTTCAGGCTATGCCCGCTGTCTTCCTTGGGCAGCAAGCATGTGTGTACACACACAGGCAAAACATACTCATAAAAATAAATTTTTTTTTTTTTTTCTTGAAAACAGGGCCTCTATGTAACCCTGGCTGTCCTTGAACTCTCTACGTAGACCAGGCTGGCCTCGGACTCAGAGATCTGCCTACCTCTTCCTCAGTGCTAGGGTTAAAAGGCATGTGCCACCATGCCTGACAAAAACAAATCAATCTTTCAAAGAGCAGGAAGAGGGAAATGGGATCACAAGGAAGTTCTTGTTTAGATCCCAGTCATGTGTCAGAAAGGACTTACCCGGGAGGTAAGGCAGGTGCTGAGAGGGTGGTATCTGAGGACTAAAGCCTTCGTTACCTGTAGTCAGAGAAAAGAGCAGTCAGGGTCTGACATTCGAACTCTAGATCTCCAAGGTACACCTGTTACAAGTGGTGGCTTAGGGGCTTTTGTGGTTTGAATGAGATGTCCCCCATAGTCTCAGGCATTTGGATAGATGGTCCCTAGTTGGCTGTTCAGAGATTAGGAGGTATGGCCTTGATGGAGGAAGTATATCACTGGGGGTGGGCTTTGAGATTAAAAAAGACTTGAGCCATTCCCAGTGTCTTCTCTGCCTCTTGATTTTGGATCAAAATGTGAGCGCTCAGCTGTTCCTGCTATCATGCCTTTCTTTACTCTGCTATCATGGATTCTGACCTCGATTAAATACTTTATTATAAGGTATCTTGGCCACGGTTTTAACAAGCAGTAGAAAAAGGGGAAACAGGAATATTTTATTTAATTTGACACAATTATGTGTGTCTAGCCAGCATCTCTGCTACCTCCTCACCCAGAGCAGCAGTGTGAAGGCCTGATTACGAGAGGATCCAGAGGCCAGGCCAGTCTCTACTGTGTCCACAGCAAGCTGGAGGAACTCATCCAATTGCTGCCCTAAAATGGAAGGGATATAATGGTATAATATTGTGACAAAGGATGTAAACCATTTATGTACACAGCACTTGAGAAGCTACTAG